AAAAAAAAAAAATACCCCGCGCAACGACCCAGTCATTTTGCCTCTGTTTGGGCGCTAATGGCCTTTCGCGGCCCCAGTACAACTCTCATATCTTAACCCGAGCAGAGAGCAAAGTGACGAGGGATTTGATACTGACCCGCGAAGCGCACAGGAAGAGCGCCGCAAGACTCTATTACTGCTGCACGAGGGGGATGGAGGCACTGTTTTTGCTGGGATTTGTCTCATTTTTCTTCTTGTCTATCTTCTGGCATTTTTGACGAACAGCTTTAGGAAAGGCGAAATCATGATGTATAAGAACAGGTTGGGAATTTGTGATGAGTTCAAGTCCTCAAGGGATCCTCCAAGGGAATATCAGCATTAATTGGCGGGCGAAGGGCTCTTGGCTGCCGAAGGAAAACGGCTAACGGCCCAATACTAGTCTAAGAACCTGGTAACGAGAACGCGTCACATGACACCATACCTGGTCACGAGAGCGTGTCACATGACACCTTACCTGGTCACGAGAGAGCCCGGCGAATCCTTTCTCCACGCCGGGCCCAGTGTTTGATGGGACCGGGACCGAGCCACGCGCCGGGCACCGCGGATCGCTGGGAAAATAGTAGAAATTTGCCGAAATGAAGGTATATTATACCAGAGAAGATCCCGGGCCATAGAAGATCCAATTTGCGACCCCCGTGTCGGTATTCTCTGGTATAATATACCTTCATTTCGGCAAATTTCTACTATTTTCCCAGCGATCCGCGGTCCGCGGTGCCTGGTAGAGGCTAGGACCGAGCCACGCGTCGGGCCGCAGGGGGGAGGGGGGCACGTCATCCCGGCTCCAGGCTGGCGCCGCGGCACATGTGCGCGGTGATTTGTCACCCCGCCAATCCCGCTGTTGTCGCTGAGGATTAGTTCCGCCTTTACTGTTGTCTGTGGGCAGCCCGGGGGAGCGAAAACATCAACAAACATACTGATAACAAACTATCACCGAAGAATATTCGACGCAGCTCGATAGACGTCAGACAGATCCATTTGTCATCGTGCTGTCATGGCTGTTGAATGTGAACAGCTTTGTTGTGGAAAAACAAAAACAAACCAACTGACAACGGACTATCAACTCATTTGCAACTTGCCTCATCAAAAAGAATATTCGGCTGATTGTCATCCCGGCAGATCCGTTTGACAATTGAACACTCTTGTCCATGTCATCGTGCTGAAGAAATTATATGTGTGAACAATGGTCGAGGCAAAACAACAACAAACTGATAACGGACTATCATCGTATTTGCAACTTGTCTAATCAAAGATATTCGGCCGATTGTCATCGTTCTATAATATGAAAAGTTGAGGAAAAGCAACAACAAACAAACTGATAACGGACTATCAACTAATTTGCAAGCCTCACCACTAAGAATACTTGACGGCCGATCGTCATGCGTGTCAGATCCGCATGGCGATCTTTGACAACTGAACACCACTCTTGTGAGGGTCTTCTCCATGGCGTGCGTATGGGTCTGGCACCCAGGCTACCTCCTCCTTGGTCTGGTACAGACTTGTGATTAGCCGCTGCTGCAGGGAAAACAACAAACCCAGGTCTTGTGATAGGTTGACTTCGTCCGTGCCTTACCGCATATGAAAATTCGGCAGATCCGTTTGCCGCTAGCCTGGGTGCCAAACCGTGAGATATTTTGTATCCAGTGTGCTATGGGTTTGGCACCCAGGCTATTTGCCACCTGAGCAGTCTCGTTATTCCCAACATGCGGTTGGATTTTAATAGCTGCTGCTGCTGAAGGGAAACTACAACAAATCAACCGATGAAAGACAGAGATGTTTCCCATTAGAATCGGACTTACCGAAAATATGCTCGGCCGACCGCTCGGCCTGCGCTCGGCATTCCTGTGTGATTCGCCATGTGGCCAATCGTCCTATTGCCGTCGGCGAATTGTTTCGCCTACATAGTAGATATGAATTGTTGCGGCCAAGAAGGTTTGATTGAACCTTCTTGTTGCGGCACAATGCTATGGGGAAGTGATGAAGAACTAATGAAGAACTGTTGAAGAACTGATGCTTTGGGGCCAGCATGGGTGCAGGGCTCAGTGGAAGACAGAGAGGCCTGGATAGAAAGGACAACAAACCACCCGACAAAGGACGAGAAATATGAGTTAGTTAGCGAATGTCGAGTGCCAAATGTCGAGTGCCAAGGGCGAATCTTACAACCTGCGATTCTGGGGAAAAAACAAAGATGTTTTAATTGACATCAGTCTTGATGGATAAAGAAAATGAATTCAACAACCTTCCTTATGGCAAGTTATCTTTGTACATAAATAGCTATATATATATAGATAAAGCTGTTAAGTCTTTTCCAACTGGATAATCAAAAGTTTCATGTGTAAACGTTTCAAGTACCATCCGGTACTCTTCATCAGTACAAATGATATGTATAGCTTTATCTATTTATCGTATTATCGTACCGTATTCCTGGATGAGTAATCTTCACCAACGTATCTTTGTACATATTTTGTTACGTTCAAAGTCAAAGGGGGAACCAACGAAATATCATAACGTCATAGTTATCTGTGTAGTGACGTGTCCGTTTGTGTGTGCCCGTGCAGGTGTGGTTCCAGAACCGGCGCGCCAAGGTGTACGTCATAGATATGTGTGTAGTGACGTGTCCGTTTGTGTGTACGTCACAGATATGTGTGTAGTGACGTGTCCGTCACAGATATGTGTGTACGTAGTGACGTGTCCGTTTCCGTGTGCCCGTCCAGGTGTGGTTCCAGAACGCAAAGGTGTCCGTCACAGATATGTGTGTAGTGACTGTCCGTTTGTGGTGTCCGTCACAGATATGTGTGTAGTGACTGTCCGTTTGTGTGTGTCCGTCACAGATATGTGTGTAGGACGTGTCCGTTTGTGTGTGTCCGTCACAGATATGTGTGTACTGACGTGTCCGTTTCCGTGTGCCCGTGCAGGTGTGGTTCCAGAACGCAAAGGTGTCCGTCACAGATATGTGTGTACTGCCGTGTGCGTCACAGATATGTGTGTACTGACGTGAACGTCACAGATATGTGTGTACTGACGTGTCCGTTTCCGTGTGCCCGTGCAGGTGTGGTTCCAGAACCGGCGCGCCAAGTGGCGGAAGAAGGAGCGGTTCCAGCAGATGGCCGGAATCCGCCAGGTGGCGCTCGGCGCGGATCCGTACGAGATGCAGATGGCTCCCAGACAGGAAGGATACTCACAGGTAAGGCTATGGCAACTTCCTGTCACAGGGGACGGTCTCCTAAAACACATTGCTACAGACGTCTTCGCAACGATTTGTCTAAAAAATCCATAACAAGTTCAAACATCGAAAGTCTCAATGAGATCAAAGAATCACATACTTGTATACAGCATATAAGCAGTTAAACTGCGTTCTTACGCACGCATGCACACACACACAGACACACACATACGCACATATATACACATACAGAGAGAGAGACACACACAAACACACACAAACACACACACATGCACACACAGACACACACACACACACACGCACGCACACACACACACACACACACACACATACTCTTACACACATACGAACACACAAAAAGTCTCTCCGACTTTTCGTACTACAGCCTTCATCAGGGTCGAATGATCTTTTATCAAGGACATTCTATACTTTTACTTAGAATACGTGATCATACATTAAGCTATTAAACAACATCTTGGTGAAGTAGTACATGTAGAAACCAATGAAAAGACTGTCCTCTATATCATAGTTCTGTTTTTTTTTTCTCAGATCCAGACCCCTCCCTGGCAGCCGAGCCGAACCAGTAACAGCTCCTGCATGTCTCCTCAGATCAGCCCCCCTCCCACCTTTATGGGCGTGGCCGCGCAGGCGCACCCCTACCACACCAGCGCCTCCCCAGGCAACCCCACCACCAATAGCAGCGCGTTCCCGGATCACATGACCGTCCATGTGACCATGGCCAACGGGCAGCACCACACGGATATGACGTATACGCAGACATGCGCAGACAGGCGCAGTTCCAGTATAGCTGCGCTCAGACTCAAAGCCAAGGAGCACAGCGCCGCGCTGGGCTTCATGGGAGGACTGGTCGGACCTTCTTTCATGTGATGACGTCATCCCCGTTGCCATGGTGTCACCATGGACACGTTAAGAGCCAGACTGGACGTTTGTATCATATAAGGAAATGGTGACGACCCAACACCAAAACACGGTTATAACTTGACATGTATCATGTTAGATGATGGCCATGGGCAATCGAGATGCCACCAACAAGTCCGCCCTTCCAGCATTTGCTGCATTTTGTAGAAGTGTATATCTTCCGTACTCTCCAAGCAGAGGTTTAATTTTGGGTTTTGGGGTATTTTTGGCGTGTAATTAGGCTTTTTTATCGGGGTTTCTTTTTTGCACTTGACTTTTTTTCACTGGGTTGTATGAACAAAAAAAAAATCCAGAGCGAAAAGGAAACCCCGATAAAAAAGCCTAATAACACGCCAAAAATAACCCCAAACCCAAACCTCTGCTTGGAGAGTATATCTTCGGACTTCAAGCTTATTCGATGATATCTCAGAATCGTAGTTCCAGCTAAGGATGATATTATACACGATGAGAATAATTGTAAACAAGACAGACTATTTTTATAATCAATGCAAGAGGTAAGAAGATGCCACATATGCCACGCATGTTTGAATAGCGAAGATGATATTATAGACTATCGTGTACTTTTTTATCCGTTATCATATCAATATGTGGACCAAGAAGGTTGACAAACTCAATCGAGTGTTAGGCCACACCGCCTTAATTTTATGGATGACATCCACGCGCGCATTGCTTTTCGCCTGTTTTACGTCCTCCGAGGCTCTGGTCTGGCTCTAGGCTTGGGTAGTACATAGCAGTTAGCGACAATACGGCACAGCCTGTGGTAACTCTGGAGGATGGCACCCAGGCTACCAAAGCTCCACGACTCAAGAACTCAGTACATACCCACAGTGCCAATGCATTCATAAATTCTGCAAAAAGCCAGCATGTGCCGGCTTCTCATATACGTCGCTATGTACTGCCGCAAATTCACAATACCAGTGGTTTAGTGGCATTTTTATTTTGGGCCGGAATTTTTTTTTATTCGCCCGCGCGCACTACTTTGGGGGTCTTCAGAGAATGTCATCCATAAAATCAAGACGGTGTGGCCTAACTTTCGAGAAATATTCCATACACCTATACATTCCTAGCGATATTTATCATTTCGGTTCCAACGATGTGATTTATCGTATTTGTAGATTGAGAAGAAGAATTTCAGATTCTTGAGTTTATATAAAATAAATTAGAATCTATATGTCAAGATGTTGATTGTGTCTGCGTGTGTGGGTGATGCTTCTTTGAAGTTTCATGTGGAAGGTTACCCAAAGTAAAGTTATGAGAGCCTTAAACGGCTCTAAGTAGTGTTCATGCTCAATGTAAACTGTCACATAATAGAATACAAACACAATTATGTACTGTACTAGTATATAGCCTGTACAGGTACTATAGCCCCTACTGCACTTGGTGACGATGAGGTACACCTACGTTAAACATGTACCTGTAATTTCCGGTATTTATTAGGTCTAGGAAAAAATGTTGTGTTTCCTGTTTAAGTCCTGAAATAATTAGGGTTGGTAGGTAGGATTATCTTTTTTTGGCTTTCTTTTGTTTAAGCGTTGACAATCTCTATATAGACAGTTTTACAAAGCAAAACTTGCATTTGTAAAACTTGCATGAGGACACTAACAGTTTCAATGTCAATGTTGGAAAACCGATTGTACAACGTTTTATCACTCGGGTGTCCGATCATTAAGCTAGAAAAGGTTCATCACCTCAGAAACTTTATTATGTCCCTTCCAGGGGTCCACACAAAAAAAGGCTAGGGTCGTAGCTATCGTAGCAGACTTATAGAACTGGGGGTTTGGTGGTCTTCGGCTGTTTTCTGATTAGCCCAGTTCTTCAACCAGGCCGGCTATGTTGTCTATATGCAATCAGAAAATAGCACATAAAAGCTCCCAACGACACCGAAGCAGACCTCCCAAACCCCCAGTTTTTGGCATGCTATGGAGGCTACTAGGGTCGGTAGTTTTTCTAGGGTCGGTCGGGATACAGGAAACACAACATTTTTTCCTAGGCCTTACAAACTATTAGTCTCCACTAGACTTCTTTTGTAGGCTGAATAAATCGTAGAAATCGGCCTAAAAAGGGTATTAATTGGCCAGAGAAGGTAGCCGGCCAGAGAAGCTCCATCAGACAAATGGTCGGCTACCTTCTCTGGCCAATTAATACCCTTTTTAGGCCGATTTCTACGATCTATTCAGCCTGCAAAAGAAGTCTGGTGGAGACTAACAAACTATGCTTCAAACGCCCAGGCCGCACGTCCCGCGCCCTCGGGCCAATTCCTGCTCAGCCAGAGACGCGCTGAACACAGCTGCCCTTCTAATTAGTTCCGACAGGCGGCGCCTTTGACCGGCGCGACCTGTGACCGCGGGAGGGATACAGTAACCAAACTTGGCCGCGAGCGGGGTCAGGGGGTCAGGGGTCGGGCGCGGGGAGGAATGTTCCCTAGAGCATTGGCAATAAACGGTATTTAGACAAGGGAGGCGGCCGGGAGAACCAGTCTAAACAACTCTGACAGGCGCCCAGGGTCGGGTAGCTAGGCTTTAGACTATTACAGAGAGAAGTGATTAATACTTTATTGCTCATCATAGATGAAAGGATAGATATAAGACAGCGCTTGTGTTAAGTTTGTCATAATCGATATCTCAAGGTAAAATGAACTCTTAAAGTTTTAACTTTAAACATGTAACTACCAACACAGATGAACTTTCATGATGGAACTCTTAAATCGTCAACACGTTCATGCTACATTTGATTTTAGATGTATTTTTGATAGGGAAATAGTACGAATGTATAAATAAAGAACTTAAAAAACGGAAATGTGAAAAGTAAAGTCCAAACAACTCTGACAGGCGTCTCGGGTCGGGTACCAAGGCTTTACAGAGAGAAGTGGTTAATATTTCAAAAGAGAGAAGAAAGGGCAACTAACAGTAGATGATTGGTAGTATATAGTATTATATTGTTGTAATATATAGACTCCTAGAACTTAACATTACGAATGTAGCGTTCCAGTCTGCAATACTTATCCTCTTAAAGTCTTATGAATTTAGCCCACCTGGGCAAGAACATGCAGTTAAGATTCATATCATTAATACTTTGTTGCCCACCATAGATGAAAGAATAGATATTGTACAACGTTTTTGTCATAACCGACATCAGTAAAAGGAACTCTTTAATCGTCAACACGTTATGCTACATTTGATTTTAGATGCATTTTTGATAGAGAAATAGTACGAATTAATAGAATATGTCTGAATAGATTCTTTATTGGCACAACAAAAAGTACAGGAACTTGTGTATGGTCTTTTAGATAAAGAACTTAAAAAAAAAAACGGAAATGTAATGTTAAGTCTAAACAACTCTGACAGGCGTGTCGGTTCGGATACCAAGTCTTTTCAGAGAGAGGAGCACATGAGATGTTTAGGGTGTAATTGATTTTTCATTATAGACAATCATGAGCAATTAAGCTGAAGTTTCTCTTTATCTCTTTTAGACTTGCCAACAGCTATTTTGACATTTGACATGCAATAGTGGTTTGGTTGTCTTACGAATGGATTCGACAAGAAATTAGTAAAGCCTGTCTGCTAAATTAACTGGAATATGCCCTCACTGCGGCTTTATAAAGTCCGACCACATTTATTCAATAGAAGAAATGATAGATATTGGACAGCGCTTTTTTTTACATGATCTCACGATTAGTGGAACTGAATTATTATCAACAACATATTTATGCGCTACATTTGCTTTTAGATGTATTTTCGGTCAAGAACAAGTACGAATCAAATGAATAAAGAACTTAAAAAACGGAAACGTAAAGTAAAGTAGAGTAAAATGGAAATTGAAAATAGAAGTTTCTGGTCTCATCGCGGTAAGTAAATTCTAAAGTAGGCGCCGTACTTTAGTACTCCTTGCTCGCAAACATAAAGTTGTTCATTTAGCGAGCTATTGCACTTCTTACTTGTACTTGTGGCGACCTATCATGCCTATTAGCATCTACAAATATGTACTATAAGACCTATAACAGGCATAACGAGGTGTTTCGACGCGATGACCGTCCTTCTACAGGACAACAATGACTGGTTATGTATGGTTCATACTGCAGCTAAAAGAACTTTGCTACACAGTCTCTCGCCAACCTGATGAAACCAGCGAAAAGCTGTAATCATTTTGTAACGACAGCGTACAGCCCAGGACACGATCTGACCCGCGCTGACCCCTACGGTTGGACGTTAATGGCCATCACAGCTCTATCTATTTGTGTTCATTACACGCTGATGTAGGGGGAGGGGCACCCAGGCCAGCGAAGTGATTCAATTTAAGCCGTTTGCAACCTCAAACTGTGCAATAACGCCGTCCAGATTACCGCTAGCAGGGCTCGAAATTAACGGTGTCCCGATGGCCACCGACCACTAAAATTTAGGCTGGGACAACTAGAAAGACACTTTGGGACATTTTTGGTACAATAGAAAAATAATCGACATCAGAATGTCAGCCCTACTTTTGTCGATCAGGAACGCGTCCTGGCTTTTGGCTCGGAAAAGCCCCCCGAATGTCTCGTCTAGATAGTGCGCCTGGGCGTCAGAGCGTAAGCAAAATAAAGTTGACTTCAACTTGTTACCATCATACATACTTTCCGAAAACAGGTTGGGACAGTACATACTCACTTTGGGACAATCGAAATTTATTTTCGGGACAGTGCTGGGACATTAGGAAAAAAAAATTAATTTCGAGGCTTGTGTATGGATTGTCCCGTGTTGAGAGGCTACGCAAGTACAGTAATCACTAGCAATTAAGCTGAAGTTTCTCTTTATCTCTTAGATTTGTCAACAGCTATTTTGACATGCAATAGTGGCTCGGCTGTCTTACGAATGAATTTGACAATAAATTAGTAAAGCCGGTCTATTACTAAGCTAAAGCGGCCTGGATTATATCCTCACTGCGGTTATATAAAGTCCGACCACATTTATACAACAGTAGCGAGTTAAACAGTATCAGATTCTGTATTTTCGTAGAAGCTTCCGCAGAAGTATTCATGTTGCGACGGTTCGTTAATTGGGGTTAGTTAATAACTTTGGAGGTCATGTTCATTTCCACAGTCAAAATAATGGAGTCTGCTACGATATTAAACAAACAGTATCGAAGTATTCTCATATCTAAAGCCTCAGAATAAGGTAGGAGATATATTATAGTATCTAAAG